GATCATTTTGAGACACTTTTTAAGGCTTTGGTTTCTACGATCTTGACAGTGGCATTTATTGTTGGTATCCTATTGACAGTTACCGGCAAGGTGTCGCCATGGACTGGTCGTTTCTATTCTCTATTGGATCCCTCATATGCCAAAAATCACATTCCCATTATTGCCTCGGTTTCGGAACATCAACCCACCTCATGGTCTTCATTCTATTTTGATCTACAGGTAGGTTTCAATGAAATATTAAAATTTAACTGCAAATTTCACATATTTCCCAAATATCTATCCTCATTCATGATGATATCATAGAGCGTTAATGAGTACACCTTAATGTTACCCATTGATTACACACACTTTGATCGCTGATGATCTCTTACAATGAGTTTTGGGGGCTCATCTCAGAAGTCTTTTTTAACAATCGAGATGTGCCGCAAAACTCTACATGTTCCATTCCTAATTTTCCATCAATACCTAACCCATTTTTAAACATTCTGGATTCTCGAAGCTAGAAGTTATTTCGAAGAACATATTTAATCTATTTTTTTATTATTTTTTTCAGATTCTGGTATTCCTCTTCCCGGCTGGGTTATACTTTTGCTTTGTCAAACTAACCGATGCCAATATCTTCATTATACTCTACGGTGTCACTAGTATTTATTTTGCTGGTGTTATGGTACGTTTAATGTTGGTCTTGGCCCCGGTTATGTGTGTCCTCTCCGGCATTGCTGTATCACATTTATTGGCAAAATATATACAATCGATAGAGGTGGCATCGGCCGCAGAGAAGAAGCCAGTTGAAAGTAAACGTCAATATAAAAAGATGGAACAACAAAGTGGTGGCATTAAAAAGGAAGTGGCCATCACGTTTGTGGGCATTGTAACAATGATGTTAATTGTCTACACATTCCATTGTACCTGGGTGACTTCGGAAGCATATTCATCGCCCAGCATTGTTTTGAGTGCCCGTTCACATGATGGCGGTCGTATCATTTTTGATGATTTTCGTGAGGCCTACTATTGGCTGCAAATGAATACACCTGAGGTAAGTTTACAACATCACTCCTCAAATGTTTGACCCTATTTTGAAGATTTTCAATATGATGAACACTTGTAATTCTTGATAGGAAGAGTATGACACATAATGAGTACTACAACTAAGCTGAATATAATTATTTAAACAATATTTTAAATCTTTATATTTTCATTTGAAATTAATTGAAAATCCCAATTTTTTCCTCTCTTCTTTTACAGGATGCCCGCATAATGTCCTGGTGGGATTATGGTTATCAAATAACAGCCATGGCAAATCGTACCATACTCGTTGATAACAATACCTGGAATAATACACACATATCGCGTGTTGGCCAAGCCATGGCCTCTTCGGAGGAGAAAGCATATGAAATAATGCGTGAACTTGATGTTGATTATGTCTTGGTGATATTCGGCGGCCTTACGGGCTATTCTTCCGATGATATTAACAAGTTCCTATGGATGGTGCGTATTGGTGGCAGTACCGATCGTGGTGCTCATATTAAAGAGAAGGATTATTATGCTGCCAATGGTGAATTCCGTGTCGATAAAGAAGGTTCGCCAACCCTGCTCAACTGTTTGATGTACAAAATGTGCTATTATCGTTTTGGACAAGTATACACCGAGGGCGGTAAACCACCAGGTTATGATCGTGTTCGGGCTGCAGAGATTGGTAATAAAGATTTTGAATTGGATGTGTTGGAAGAGGCATATACAACGGAACATTGGTTGGTGCGAATCTACAAAGTTAAGGATTTAAGTAATCGTGGTGTTTAAAAAGGAGACTACCGTTTTCTGCCATCATCGAATTCTTTTCTGTATCCTGATGAAACATTGTTGATCAATTCTTTTTTATTTTTATTTAGAAAAACACAGTATTTAAGAAGTTTCTTCTCCAAATTAATTATTGATGAATCTCTTTATTTTCGAAACTTAACTGATCTATTGCATCGAATACGAAACTAAAGCTAAAAAATTAGTTAACAAAATAAAAATTGCAAACAAAAAAGTATTAACCATTTATGGATAGCACAACCTAAATGCTCCATCTCTCGTATAAATTAAGACAACAAATTGTATCCCCAAATGCATACACCCATCCATGACACATGCAGGTTTTCTATAATAAAATATATATTTTATAAAAAAATTAAATTGTAATGGACTTTCATTTTGTGTAGAAGTGACAGAGGCTGTTTCCTGTCCTCTTATTTGAATAGAGGTCTGGAATTTTTAAGATGTGAATTTTTTAAAGGGTATTTTCAAAGAGAAGGCTAGGATATTTTAAAGAATAGTTTTTCAAAGCGTAACAGAAGAGGTGTGGATTTTTAAAGATTATTTTTTCAACGACCAACAGAGGCGTACCAAATTTAGTACACAATAGTACGAATTTCTAAAACCTCCTCACAACAAACCTATACCCCCATAGTGATCCTTAATCCAAGTTTCAGGATTCCAACTCTATCGATTTACTCACAACTCAAATTGTACCAAATTTAGTACACAGTAGTACACTTTCCAAAATATTCTACATACCCCAATCCTACCCCCCACACTGATCCTAAATCCACGTTTCAGGATTTCAACTCTATTGGTTCACCAAAAATTCAAATTTTACCAAATTTAGTACACAGTAGTACGAATTTCCACAACTTCCAACTTAACCCAATCTTACCCCCCACACTGATCCTAAATCCAAGTTTCAGGATTCCAACTCTATCGGTTCACCCACAATTTAAATTGTACCAAATTTAGTACAGAGTAGTACGAATTTCTAAACCCTCCTTCTTACCACAAACCTACATCCCCATACTGATCCTAAATCCAAGTTTCAGGTTTCCAACTCTATGGGTTCACCCACAATTTAAATTGTACCAAAATTAGAACACAGTAGTACGAATTTCCACAACTTCCAACTTAACCCAATCTTACCCCCCACACTGATCCTAAATCTAAGTTTCAGGATTCCAACTCCTTCGGTTCACCCACAATTATATTGTACCAAATTTAGTACAGAGTAGTACGAATTTTTAAAACCTTTTTACCTCTAACCTGCACGCCATAGTGATCCTAAATCCAAGCTTCATATTCCAACTCTATCGGTTTACTCACAATTCAAATTGTACCAAATTTATTACACAGTAGTACAAATTTCCACAACATCCTACTTAACTAAGCCTTCACCCCTATAATGATTCCAAATTAAAATTTTAGGATTTCAAATTGGTTCACCCACAATTCAAGTTGTACCAAGTATAGTACACAGTAGTACGAATTTCCAAAACTTCCTACTTAACCCAATCCTTCGTCCCACAGTGATCCTAAATCCAAGTTTCAGGATTTCAACTCAATCGGTTCACCCACAATTCAAATTGTACCAAATTTAGTACACATTAGTACAAATTTCTAAAACATTCTACATACCCCAACCCTTCACCCCCACAGTTATCCCAAATCCAAGTTTCAAGATTCCAAATCTATCGGTTCACTCACAATTCAAATTGTACCAAATTTAGTACACATTAGTACACATTTCTAAAACTTCCTACATATCTCAATCTTACACCTCAGCAGTTAGCCTGACTCCAAATTTCTTGATTTACCTAAAATTCAAATTGTACCAAATTTAGTACCCATAAGTATAAATTTCTTAAACTGAATCCTGACCCCAATGCTACACCCATACAGTGATCCTGACTCCAAATTTCATTGTTCCCGCTCTATCGGTTCACCCAAATCTAAATTGTACCAATTATAGTACGATTTACTACTTTTCGTACACGTAAGTAACAAATTTCCAAAACTACCTACATATTCCAATCCTACACTCCGACGATAATGTTAATTTTAAACATCAGGATTGTAGCTCGATTTGTATCTCCATATTAAATTTGTACCAAATATAGTATCATATAGTACTTTTCGTACACATGAATACACGCTTTCAAAACCATCTCCTTAAATAGACCCTACATCTCCACTCTAATTCGTATTCCAATTTTCAAGTTGTTAGCTCTATCCATTCACATGCTACCGAATTTGTACCAAAATTAGTACATTTTAGTACTTTTCGCACACTTATAGTTCGAATGTCCAAAAAACCCTTTGCTATATGTATTCTACACTCCATCAGTGTCCCTCGTATAAAATTTAAGAGTTCTAGCTCTACCGGTTCTCCAAATACAAATGGTGTCATATTTAGTACTTTTCGTACCGTTCTACTACGAATTTCCAAAACCGCAGCCTTATCTGTCACATTTAGACCAAGAGTGACCCTTACCCAAAATTTCAAGATTCTAGCTTCAGCCGTTTCTTCTGGGTGTGATGAATCGTTAAATCAGACAGTCAGTCAATCACTTTACTCTTTTAGGCGTAGATTTTTTAAAGAAATGTTCTCGAAGACTACCTCAATCTTGATTTTTTAATGACCTCAAGCATGGATTTTTAAGAATTTTTTAATGACTACCTCAATCTTGGATTTCTTTAAGACTTTTTTTAAATAAGTTCTAAAGAATATCTCAAGCCCTATTTTTCAATAGAAAAAAAAACAAATTTGAATTTGTGTTAAGTCATAATAAAATTGTATTATCTCCAAAACAGGATCTGTTTTCTTCCAATGTAAACTACATATGTACATACATATAATGTATAATTATATATTTATAAAAATTATTAAGTTCAGTGAGTTCCATTTACACCATTTTGGGCTGGTTTACCGCTGGCAATAAAACTCATTACGTCTATTTTAGTGGCTAGACCCTTGAGGACATCTTTGCCATCTGCAAAAACAAAAACAATTTAATTTTTAGACATTCAAAAATAAATTTAAAAATTAAAAATTTACCTTCTTTGTCAACAATCAGGACGCAGGGATCCACTTCCAAAACACGAGCCAATTTGCCCAAAATTGCCGAGGAGGGTATGCGAATGACACGCTTGTTAATGGCTTTCAGGGCCAATTCGTCAGTTTTACGATTCATGCTAACAATTTGATTAATCAAAGTCTCCTGGCCGACTGTGCCCAAAACGGAACTGTAGTAAATTGGAAATTATGTAATCAATTAAACGATTTATTGGATCAATTCTTCGATTGCTACACTAACTCACCCATCCTCCTCATCCAGCATTGTCAATTGATTTAAATTATTCTTCTTCATCAGCTCAATGGCTTCGGCAAATTTAACATCTGACTTAATGGTCAAGGGGGTGCTGAGTTTCAATTCGCTTACAGGTACGTTCCACCACCAATGTTGATGTTCATTGTTGACCTCCTTAAAGTCACGTGCCTCCATCCAATTATCCGAAACAAATTTAGTCATATAGTTGCGAATGCCATCGGGTAAAATGACAACACAACGTTGTCCCTCCTTCAGATTCTTGGCAAATCTCAAAGCAGCAGCCATGGCACCACCCGATGAACCGCCGCACAACAAACCCTCCTCAGCATTCAAACGACGACTCATGGGGAAGCAGTCCTTATCACCGATTTTAGTCCAAACATCGATTACCGAGTGATCCATTACGGTGGGTATGAAATCATAGCCAATACCTTCAACTTCGTAGAATTGAACATCGGATTCGTTCAATGTTTCGGGACGAGCCAAAACCGAACCGAAAGGATCAACGCCAACAATTTGGCATGAGGGCAGTTCCTCCTTGATTTTGCGGGCAATACCCGTTATGGTACCCGCTGTACCGGCACTGCACACAACCATATCGACTTTATTGTCCAATTGCCAGAGAATTTCAGCACCGGTACCATCATAATGGGCCAAAGGATTACCCGGATTGCGATACTGATCCAAAACAATGGAATTGGGTATTTCCTTTTGCAAACGTTGGGCAACACAAATCAAACCTTCAGGTGAATCGTAGGCCGCTTCGGTGGGTGTGCGAATAATTTTAGCGCCCAAGGCACGCAAAGCGTACACCTTTTCGTTGGACATTTTCTCGGGCATAACAATCAGACATTTGTAACCCTTTACGGCACAGGCCATGGCGAGACCAATGCCGGTGTTACCCGAGGTTGGTTCAATAATTGTGCAGCCCGGTTTAAGTAGACCCTTGTCTTCGGCATCTTGTACCATACGATAGCCAATGCGATCCTTGACCGAACCACCGGGATTCAGGAATTCACATTTGGCGTCTGAAATAAAAAGAGGGGGGTTTGAATTAAGGTATTCAAAAGGGGAGAATATTTTTTTCTATTGGAAAAAAGGCACAGAATCTGAGAATTTATTTTTAAGAAAAATCTGTCTTCAGTTTCTGAAGATTTTTCTGTTGGATGATGTCAGAAGATGAACACATATTTTCTTTGGTAAAATTTACGAAGGACTTAAAATAATCTGTTCTCAGATAATGAGGACTTTATTCTTTAGAAAAAAAATCGGTCCTCAGATTCTGTGAATATTTTTTTATAGACAAAATCTGTCCTCAGATTCTTAGGACTTTTTTCTATAAAAAAACTGTTCTCAGATTCTGAGGAATTTTTTCATATAGAAAAAAAGTCTGAAAAAAGTATCTGTTGCTTTTCTATTGAAAAAATTGTCCTCAGAACAATTTTTTCAATAGATAAGCAAAGCAAAGAAGCTGAGGACATATCATTTTTTTCTATATGAAGGAAAAAGTCCTCAGAATCTGAAAAAAGTCCTCAGAATTTGAGGACAGATTCTGAGGACTTTTTTCAAGGGACAGTTTCCTTCATATAGAAAAAATGATCTGTCCTCAACTTCTGTGCTTTGCTTTTCTATTGAAAAAATTGTCATCAGCTTTTAAAG